ATTTGGGATTATGTCCCGCTATCCTGGGTCCCCAATACGGGCAGCGAGAATCCATCATTACAAGCCTTGGCACTGAGAACAGCCTGACTAGCACAGTGGTGGTCAGCCTGGTGTGTATGCACTCCAGGCACATGCCCTCTTTTTAGGCAAGTCTACCCCTTGTCTGTATCATCCATTTTGTACCAAGAATTGCTGGCACTTCCTGTGCGCGACCCTTATCACTCTCCATGCCACATCCATGTCTCTCATAGGAAGGTATTCTTACAAAGGGTCATTTTTTAACAGACTTGTGTTAAGCAGTGTTAATTTTGTCGACTAACAATTTTAGCCAGATTTTAGTTGACTAATAATTTTTGAGATTTAGTCGACTAAAACTAAAACAATTCAGATGACAAAAATACGACTAAAACTAAAATGGCTTTTTGGTCAAAAGACTATGATTAAAACTAAATTTAAATTTGCAACAAAATTAACACTGGCGGGTAAGACACGTGGGGGAGGGAGGGGAAGAAATAAGATACATGAGGGGTGAGGTAATGAGACATATAGGGGCTGGTGTGGGGCAAAGAGACACAGAGGTGCTGGGAAAGGGGCAATGAGACATATAGAGGCTTTAATTAAACCCATTTGATTTTAGTTGTGTCGGCTAAAATCTAATGGAGATTTAGTCGACTTAAACTAGACTAAAACGAAAACAATTCAGATGACAAAAAAAACACTAAAACTAAAATGGCTTTTTAGTCAAAAGGCTATGACTAAAACGTAATTGAAATTTGCCGCCAAAATTAACTCCAGTGTTAAGTTGTAAACTGGACTTTTGGCAAGGATTGCCATTAACCTGTCATTGTGTAGTTCAGTTGCAATCTCAGATAAACTAGACCTTTAGTGAATAAATAACCTATATTCCTATTGTAAATATTATGAAAGTGACAGGATTCTTTCACGTTATTTGTAGCTCCAGCGGCAGACAAGACCGCCTGTCCTTCACGAAAATCTACCCAGAGAATGGTATCTAATGCTTTAAAGAATGGTACATAAAGCCCACTAATCCCAGATTAGAACAATAAATCTAAACAATGTTTTTCTTTCCCAAATAAGGGAAAGAGTAGGAAATGACATAACCATGTGACTGCAAATATCTTTCTGGTATATATAAAATTATCTGCGTCATATGTTCAGCTTATATCTCAGCCAGAAAATCTCAATACGTCAAGTGTACTTCTGAATACTAATTTACTTCCTTTGAGAATGTTAGTATTAAAAGTCTAGGATTTTCCATGCTATGTGTTTACATTTTTTGTGGGAATTTCTCTAGCCATGGAAATATGTTGTTGATATTTCTATAGTTTCTAACTTAAGGATATTTATGCATAGGATATGTATTGGCATTTCACTCTAATTCCAACCCAGTCAAAAGATATAGTAAGAAAGAGTAGGAACAAAGTAGGGGCTTGGAAAAAGACGAAATGCCCTTTTGTTAAGCCTTTAGCTTTAGTGATGGCTGTAGGGAAATGGGCTCAGTCTTGTACTCTCCCACATTCCAATGTAGACGTCGACCGAAGAGGAATGGCAGGAAGAAGATGGCAGGGGCCAAGAGGGACAGGTTCAGCCAAGTATAACTCACATCCCCTGCACCCCTTGGCTAACCTACTACCAACAGAGCAGTCACTGTCAGGAGTCTTTGCAAACTATGCAAAGACCCCAGAGAGTGACAGAGCTGCCTTAAGTGAAACGGTTCCACACTCCTTTGCCCCAGTAAATGCTACTGAAGCACTTGCTGGTTTAAGGAGTGTGCAAATGTATGTACAAAAAAAAAATAAAAAAATCACACTTTACATCCATAACACTTCTGTGTCCTGAGTTATATCATCACCCCATAAAGTTGCAGGCACGCTCATGTAAGCCAGAGCTTATTCAGGGATTCTTTCAACAGGGCGATATACACACATGGGACTGCACTGCGCTTGTTAAATTCATTTGCATGGTATGCCCTGACTGTGCCAGGACAGCCAGGATTACAATGTAAAATAAAACTTTCAAATATGTTGAGCATTTGCGAAATAACTAGAGTAAATAACTTTTAGTTAGTGTGAAGGAATAGCTCCATTAATTGTCTCAGTTGATTTTGTAGACTTGTATTTACTTTTGTTCTGGTTCGTTTTGCTTGGTTCGTGGGATTTTCTTACTGGTTCAGGAACCGAACCAACTCCCGAACTGGAGACCACCATGGAGCTTGTTAAACCCTATTAAAACCTAGTAGCGGTTCTTACTGCAGTGTTTTAATTGTTCCTATGGATGGCGGCCGTTCATATGAATGACCACAAGGTTGTGGCCATGTTGTTCGCATGAACGCAGGCAGCGGTGTTTGATCATCTAGTTCATGGAACTAAAATCGGACACTTGAACTCCCAAACACCGCTGAACTTCCATCATCGACTGCATTCGGTTTAGTACATTGTGAAATGGCACTGTTCAGGGAATCGTTCATCTAGATCAGGGGAACAAGCTCCACGGTTCAAATATAAAATACGTTCAGTAGTTTATTTGTTTTTAAACTACCCAAGTTGACCAACCGCCACAACTTTTCTCATAGAACTATTTTGGGCAGGAGCCTCGTGTGCGGTCGGCCAAAAAAGTGACTTCCATAGAACTCCTGAACCAATCTGGGTGGTTTTTGGATTTGTTGGTCACCCAGATCGGGGTTATCCAAGGATGTAACTTTTGTGGGGTCTACATGTATTTTGGGGGTACTTTTGGGGTGTCTGTTAATTATGTGTTTTTCTGTACCTGGAGATAATTGAGTATGTACAGTTCCTGACTCAATTATCTCCCAGGTACAGGGGAGGGATTGCCCTGCTGTTTTGTGTAAGAAACCCCTTGCATGGGCTTTGTCATAAAAGGCTGTGTGTTGCCTTGGCTCATGTGTGGGGGTTATGCGATACTGGCGATATTTTACTACAAGATTATTGGCATTATTTATTTGGGGGGAAAGGGAATCCATGCCGGTGATATCATGGCGGACCACCACAGTTACCTATTAGGTTTTTCATCAATTTCACATGCGGCAGTACAGCTTTAATCAAACGTACTTCGTGATATCTGTGATATCATTACATCATTTCTTTTAACATTTAGGTAAACAGAAACCAAGAAAATGTAATCAGAGAAAACTAAGTTAGAACAATCTACACAACAGATATTCTTGGTGTCTGTGAGGCCAAACTTACTCAAGTTTCTTTGGATACATTCTGTACAAGAGCGTTCACTTATTTAGATGTTACCGGTGGATTATATTTCACACAATTCTTGTCATTCTTGCAGAGCTCTCCCGGGATCAGTTACAATTATTGCAGAGGGTTTCCATCCTGAAACTTCTATTAACGTGTCTTGCACAGTAATTTCATTCATGTCTTTTCATGAACAAAACTACCAGTGATAGCAAGACTATGTATCCCATCACAGATTTGTAGGACATGTTCAGGTCTCAATATTATGTGTGTGTGTTGTTTTTTTTGTTGTTGTTGTTTTTTTTAACCTGCTCAATGCTTGCATTTGTACATAAAACAAAATAAACTGACTCTCTCAAAGAGGGATCTGAAAAAGTGAGGTATCACAGCCTTTTATTTAATTTTATGGTTGCGATTTAGAAAACCTGTCATTGATTCCAATCCTTTAATTTTATTTACTTTAACAATTAGTTCGGAAAAAAAGAAGGGGTTGAAACAAATCCACAGGCACTAGATATCAAGTATCTGCCAAATTTATGATTAAGTGTAATCCGCTTGCGATTGTACTGCGCAGTACTAAATCTGAAATAAATCTGTTTCTCCAAGTAGAGGAACACAGAAAGGAACTCCTGTAATGTACCTGTCAGCAATCTGAGCGCTAAAGCCGACAGCTTGTCAAATAAATCATTATGGAAGCGGACAATGGTGAGGTATATCAAATGGCTCCCCTTTAATGTAACCACTCCCAAAGTAATTGATAAAATTGGTGTACCTTCTTTGTCTAAGTATGTTTGACAACAATTACGAAACAGGGGGATTGGAATGATTAATTATAGGAGTTGGAAATAAAATACAGTGCACACATATGTAAAAACAAATCTGGTTGACGAATAGATTCATGCTTTTAATTTGGTTTATAACCCAGCTCCATCCTGAAGGTTTTCACCTAGATCAGTCCAGATTGACCAATGGAAATGGTAAAGGAACTCTGAGACAATTTGGTTCCTTATACATGGAAATTTGGTTTCATATTATCATGTTCTTGCGATGCCTTGGCTGACTATATGCCACTTTGGTCCTTCTGATAGGCACAATATAATGTACCAGTGCTACTTATTTTGACAGGGACTCAAACTGTGTACACGGAGTGCAATTCTCCAACTGTAACAGAAGCTTCTGTTATAGGTGATACAAAACACTTTTATTAAACAAGTCTCTGTTACGCTGATGAAGATGGGGCTTCTTCAGTAAACTTTTTTATTTGCATAGACTTCAACACAAGCTATATGACCGTTCCAACCAATAGGAATCACTGAAACTAGCAAGGACACATAGTTTTTGATACTTAGTTTGGAGGTTTAGGAGAAGAAAAGGATGGTTGGGTCTTGGTGGCCGACCGAGCTGGATGCAGCATGGCTCAGTACCTTGACAGTAACCTATACTTAACACTGATTTCCTGTGATTCATGGGTTCTAGTTGAGAAATTCTCATCGCTTGTTAAGTGGAATCACTCTGGCCCTAACATGGATTAAGTCATTTTCAGAATATTCAATGTTCGGAAGGCATATCTATCTGCGGCCTATCTAGCAGGAAGTAGGCAGTGGAAGCAGTCGATTCTCCATCCTCATGCAGGCTCAACATTTTGCCAGCCCTATTTCTCCACCCTCTGGACAAGTGAGGGTTATCAAAGTCGCCACTGGTGCTGTGAACCTCTACGTTCATTGGAGGATTGAATTCCCCATCACTGTATAAGCCTTGAGGCCTGCGCATAAAATGGTGGACACTCTTGAATTGCAGCTACTACCTAAACCGCCAGCTACTTATCTGAAGGCCATTAAAGACTTGTGTGCCAGAGTTTGGGCGCGCCTCGAACAGCGCAATCAGCAGCTCTCACAACACTGCCTCGATGGCATGGACACCTTACCAGCTAACCACACATCGGCTTCCCAACAGCCTCGTGTCCACTACCACTCACCTACACAGCCTCTGGAGGAGATCCCCTTCCACATAGCCCACATCCCAGCAAATTTCTTCGACAACGCATTAAGTGTTTGGAGGCAAAACGTAGTGGCTTGCATAAGGTTGCATGGAGCTGGTGGAGCGTAGGCTATGTTCATTGGTCACGACATGCCTGAGGTTGTGTTGGGCTGACGGGTCACCATTTCTACCTGATGTCCATACAAGCTATTATACTTCTCTTTTTATTTCAATCTGCAATTTGCTCCATTTTTTTGTTTTTTTCTGAGCCTTGTAAGACAGTGAGGGCACAACACTCTTTTATTGAGACCTAAGATCAAGCACACAGTGATACCTTTCTACATAAGCAGAGTTGTAGCTACATATATGTTGTTCTTTTCCTTTACATTTTATCAATAGTAGATGTATCTTCAGTTAATCATTTATTATTATTATTATTATTTCATATTGTAGCCTTATTTCCAGCGCCGCGCGGGTCCGCTGGTCCTGGCTCCACCCCCTTTGTGACAGCATCAAAATGGCCGATTTATAGCCAATCCAATGCTTTCCCATAGGAAAAGCATTGGATTGGCTAACATCGGCACGGGACCAAATGCCATTTTGGCCAATCAGGGCCTCCTCATAGAGATGCATTGAATCAATGCATCCCTATGGGGAAAATTCAGCGTCCCCATGCAGAGTGTGGGGATGCTGAACGTCAGTGCTGCTTTTTGGCAGCACTGACCCTGGCAGCACCTCCAGTGGCCATCTAAGGAGTGGCCACTTGGAGGTGTCCCTAGAAGCAATGTAAACACTGCCTTTTCTCTGAAAAGTTATTGTTTACATGAAAAAAAGTAGTTGTAGCTGTAGTTGTTCTGGTGACTATAGTGTCCCTTTAAACTTAGCACCCTGTCCAGAAGAGACTAACACATGCTATACTTTACTGGATGCCCCTACCCGTACTAACTAAAGTTAAAGTTAGGTTGAAGTTGAGGGTTGATTGATATTCTGATAATTCTCTAATAATGAAGTTAACCCTGAACACAACTAAATAGACTGCCATACCGCATGTCATCATAGCACCAGGTAGCGCAATGGCACCCGTCATTGTAAACTACACTTTCATGGTGACCTGAACTTCTTACTTACGCGATAAAGTCAGCAACATTTTAATGTCAACATTATTATATGGTTATATTTATTTTGTCTTCTTCAGATAATTGAAACCGTTCTGTATTTCAGCTATTACGTGGCGTTTCTTAGTTGACAATAATAAATAATGATTCTCAGCTTTGATTTATTACACCTTAGAATCCTTTGACACCTGTAATTAGCAGAATGTCATTCTCACTAAGACTTATTTGTCAAACAAACTGACCGACCGCTACTTGGACCACAAAGAGTTAACACACACAATCCCATAGGGTTTTTTTTTTTTCCTTTGAAATGCCTGGTTTCTGTTATGAAAGAGAAAAAAAAATAATATTTGCTAAAAGTATTTCCCAGGAAATAAGAACATATTATTTTCACATACATTTTCTTTATTTCAGTAGCAAGTTAGAAAGTGATATATTCCTATGACTTAAGTTCGTTTTCTGTCTCGCTCTGGAAAAATTGACTGTTCTGTCCCATTCCGACTCTGGTGGAGCCTATCTTTGTCCTTATATATCCATTAAAAAACTTCCCGCTACCCCCAGATGATCACATTTTGGCGCCGATGTCAACAGAAGTTCACTTGCCCAAATAAGGCTCCTAATCTCCAGAAACGGAAAGAATGGGTCTAGCATTATATCCAATTATTTGGATAATACTGCCAAAAATGCACCTATGTGAAAAACAGTTGTCTTGCTCAATTTAGAAACTCCGTCATCAACATTCTCCAATTATCTGTAAGGTGTGTTAAAAGCTCTAATATGAATCACTGCGCTGAGTTATGTTTCCTGTTTCAGATAACAGAGAATACAAACTAAGTTCACTTTGAAAAGTAATGTCTCTCTTTTTTTCATATCTAAAAGAATGTCCATGTTATTTAACATTCCCTTTCTGATGGTCCTTGCTGTTTCATTTTAACAGGTAGGACCTTTTTCCGCATTATTATTTCTCGAAGTGATGAAATTTACTGTCCATTTAACATAAACTATAGAGATGCATCGTCACTCTTAATAGGACCTCAGGCAATTTTCTACAACTCTTTAAAAGTCTTTGCAAGGCAGATGCTCATGTCAATTATTGCTTCTTGAGTTTAGCTCTACTGTGTCAAGCAACCAGGAAGTAAGAAGTAACAGGACTGCTTGTGTGATTGACAGCCGGGGGGGGGGGTGTAACATGGTCAAATTTTAAAAGTGCCAATTTCTATGAATCTGCTTTTTTATAAAATGAGAAAAAGAGGACACACGCTTCACACATAAAGCACTTCAGCAAGCTCGGTGTGTGGAGCGTTCATTTAAAATTTCATAACATGACATGTTCCTTGCTTTATTTTTCTTCTTTTTTTTATTCTATATTCTAATAGAGACTTCAATTTAATATTTTTGGATAAGCTTTTAAGGTGTTTTTTTTTCTTCAAAATTTCATATATAATAAATATAAAAAAATATAAAAATATATATTTCCAATCTATTAAATAATTTGAAAAGCTTATCTAAAAATAAAAAATTAAGGTCATAATTTGGGTTGAAAATCTTTTTTTCGGGTTGAAAATCTTGATTGTTTCCTCTTTTTGGTCTTTTTCCCTTTACTAATGTTAAAGCGATACACCACTGCCCAAATATATATAAAAAACAACACTGTTTAGTAAATATATCCCCAATGAAAACACAAATGCATTTAATTTTATTTATATATATATATAAAATATAACAGCTTGCAAAAGTTGTAGATTTCTTGTCTGAAGCCTTGCAAGCCATCCCCTACTATGTCCAATCACAGACTTTCTAATGCAGCTCAATGAGAAGTCTTTGAAAGGCAGATGCACTGGGCAGTTCCACTGAGCGAACCAAATCAGGAAGTAACAGGACCAGCAGTCTGATTGACAGCCAGGGGGGATGTAACAAGGTTACTTCATGAAAGTTTTTTCTGAAATTTGTACTTTTTGTAAAATGAATATAAAATACAACTCACTCTTCTCACATAAAGTACTTTAGAAACTGAAGTGCTTTAGGGGTCTGGAATGCCTCTTTAAGTGTTGATAAATTCTTACAGTAGTTCCGTGGTAACCCTGGGTTTAATCTATTACACTTTGCACTTTATTTGTGTTTTAGATATTTTTACCTTTTTTTTTTTGTTTGTTCTTTTACGTTTTATTCATCAAACAGAAAACGGTATCATAAAATAAACCAAAATGCAAAATGTAGGTTAATAATAAAAATAGTCAAGCTTTGACTATAGCTTAGTTTGAGAATATTTCCAAAAAGCCTTTTTTAAGCAACATTTTGCAATTTGGTTTCCATAGATAAACGGTCACATAAACAATGTTAATTACTAAACTCTGAATTCTATTAACCCCTTAAGGACCAAACTTCTGGAATAAAAGGGAATCATGACATGTCACACATGCCATGTGTCCTTAAGGGGTTCAACATTTAAATGGAAAAACAGCTTTTCTTTTGGAATTCTCTGTCAGCTGTAGTGACAACTAGACTATTTTAGTCTCAGTTTTGACATTTTAATTTCAAATTAATATAATTGACAGTTTAGTACAGAGGTGCCAAAAAGGTAGATCCCTGATCCCCGATGCTTTGTCATTCTCCTGCTTGCTAGGCGTTGGAAGTGCTCACATTCTGCATGAGGACATCCAGCGTCAGAAAAAATCCCCATAGGAAATGCAATGCTTTTTAAAAAGGAGGGCTAAGTCCGCTCGCCGCGCATGCACTGACCCTGCGCTGAGGGAGATCAGCACTGGAGTTGGGCGAGTACACAAAAGGTTTATTAACCCTTTGCATGCTGAGTGTGGCGCAAGTGAGGGCGGGGAACCAGAGGGAGCTATAATGTAAGGAATACAGATTTGTATTCCTTACACTATAGAATCCCTTTAAACACTCAAGTGGAGATTGTCAGGAATTCACAATGAATTTTAGATATTAGTTCAAAATAAAACCGAATAGGATAAAATTCTCCTGGCCAGATACACATTTAATTTGGCTATTTTGGCCTCAAATTTGTCGTTCCCTTTGAAATCCTGACAATTCACACTGCAATGACTAAACCAGATGAATAATAAATTATAAACCATATAATCACATACCATTATGCAATGACATGTTCAGTACAGTAAGTACTGTACCTTTTTAATACTCCTTTCAAATGTGCCATCCACCTCTAGTGCGGAATCTAATTAATCTCTCCTTCTGTCAAAACAAAAAACATTCCTTTTAGTAGGAGTTTTAAATGTAAAGAAATCTTAAGATAAGATTCACTCCATCATATCCTTAAAATACGTAAGCACGTTAACTACTACTGGTCTGATTTCTTTTGAATAGAGTTCGTGGGAACATTTCATGTAGACCTGACATTCAAAACTACCCTTGACATTAAGCATTAGTGCATAAAAACTGTCTTTATGTTATGACTAGGCACAATTTTCAGATATTTTTCATAGAATATTTTAAATTGTTTGTCAGGGAACTCATTAGTACGATGGCATCTATGACAGAAGTTAAACTATCCCTGATGCCTTTAGTACAGGCCTTTCCTCTCTGTAAGAAAAGTTACATTAATCATTAAGACATAAATAGAGTGTACATTTGGAGAGGTATTCACTAAAGCATGAATCCCAAGTGACGTTCACAATAGCTGAACCAATAACTAAGCTGATTTGGAGAATTTTTCCAACTTGACTGTTTTGTCCTAAAAAGTTTAAATTCACTTTGAATTAAAGTGATTGTATCTTAATGCGATTCAGTGGTTGAATTATTAAAGCGTCTCTGTCACCGTCTGGGGTCTTTGCATAATTTGCATAGACCGCCTACGGTGACATCACCGCTGGGTGTCTGGTAAAGAGCAGGAAAAGGTGAATTTATTTTCCTGAATCTGTCTCTCGCAGGTGCCGCTATATTTTTATACGCCACATCTTCTTTAGCTCCCTGCGCATCAACTCCCAGAAGCCGGCGTCAGCTCTGTACTCTCTCGCATGTGCACAAGTGCAGCACTTT